TAGCCAGGCACCATCAGCTTTCTTCACCACATTTGCTTATGCACCCATTTTTGTCTTCAGTGATCATCAGGAAAGTGAGCATCAGAATGGCGCATTATTAGAACAACGTGTTCTATGTTGAAGGAGGACTACAGTAGAGGCCTAAAGTCCATTTGCTACCTTCATATATAACATATAACTACATATAAATAGGCTTATATCCCTATCATTATATATGAATATATTTACTAACATACATGCCTATATTTATACCTCAATAAATGTCTTTTGTCTCCTAGTTATTTCCTTTTATTCCTTCCTGTCACACTATCATCTTGAACCTTCATTCAGCTCTCAGTAATTCTTCCCAGCTACATTGCCCTTGATAAACCCCCCTAGGCATTCTATGTCCTGTTTGCCATCAATTTTATTTCCCTGTTTCCTTGTCCTTGTTGGCTCTACACTCCCTTCCCTTCATCACCTCCTCCTCTCACCTGTCCCTCAAAAACTGTCAGTCCCATTGCTTTGTCCTCAGGATTGTTTATCCTCCCTATCTTATACAGATAAACATAAAGAGAACATTTTAAAGCCTATAAATAGTTCCAGGTCTGTTTGCTAACGCTTATGAATGTTTTCTGATCAGATCTGATAAGGCGCCAAGCCCTACCCGCCTGAGTCAGACGTGTGTGTTCGGGATTACTTTGGGACTTCATATGGGATATCTTGGGGATTTCCTATAGCACGAATACTTAAACTTCATCACAATAATCCAGTGTTCTACACAATTGGTGATATATATGGTAAACCAAAGCAAAACCAGTAGTTGTTGAAACAACTCTGACGTACGGTGTTCTGTGTACATTCGAGTAGACTTGTGCACACAGGGTTGTCAATGACTAATTTTTAAAAATATATGCTACCAGGTCATTCTTCAAAAGTACCTTTGGATAGATTCAAGATAAGCCTCCAATTTTTTTGGTTACAACTGCGTGCTGAATCATTTATGCCACTCAGAGTCTTCAAGGAAGATATAGACAGTTTTAAATTTTCAGACAGGGTTGGCTATTTTACTTTAGTCAGTAAACATTTTTGAATGGTATGTTACAATTTATTTTCACACACTTTGAATGGTCCCAAGTTCTATCATTTGCATCTACATTTATTCTTTTAATTAAGAGTAACATTCTTTTTATACAAGTTGATGGTACCTATGTTAAACCTGAGGTGCTGTTAAAATAATAGATAAAAGAAAAATAAAGATAAAATAGATCTTAAAAGGAGTACACACAAGTAAGGTTGGCAAGCTAAGCCAAGTGTAGGCAGTGCGTGCCTTCAGGTCCCTGCTGTGATGCAATAAAAGTGCTTCCTTCTAACTACACGTGTGAGGAAAAGCTTCACGGGGGAGTGACAACCTGGGCAGAGAAAGGAAAATAGGACATTTGGACTTATTGGGAGCACATTAACTATTCAATGAGCAACAGCTGTTGGCTTAGAACTCTGCCCAGTGGATGTAGTTCTATATGCCTTAGGAACTCAGGTTGCCATATTCAAAAGTCTCCTTCTAGTTGAAGAAGGTTGCTGAAGCCCGAGTCTTACACCACGGATAGCAGCTCTGAAGAGAAACCTTAGGAAATAAACAAACATACTCCTCAGAGAGCTTTAAGGGAGGAGGGGAAAAAAGAACCGCATTGATGGGGTTTAATGGGATATTATAACTGATTCCATTTCTTGAGGTAGACTGCTTAACTACTGAATATACACTTCAT